ATTTGGGTGCTTGGCAACTGCATGCATTTACAATGGTTACAGCGTCCTGGATGATGTGGTCGCCATTTGTGAGGATTACATCACCCAGCCATTTGTGACCTCAGCTGGATTCTGACAAGGAAAGTCAATGGGGGAAGCTGGATTCACTTAACAGCCATAGCAAAAAAGGTTCATAAAATTGAATGTGACTCACTTGTTTAGGAGCAGAAATTCTGTTCCCAATTGTGGTTTTAAGCCAAGGAATATCTATAGTATGATATGCTGGAAAGGAAAAATGAAATAATCTACCGGTATCTTGAATTTTCTCTGGCTTTTAATGATTAACTAAGGATTCTTCTATCTGGTCTCACGATCAAGGTGAGCGGCCCTTCCGGTGCCCTTTCGAAGGCTGTGGCCGTTCTTTCACCACCTCCAATATACGCAAGGTCCATATACGAACACACACAGGAGAGCGACCGTATATGTGCCCAGAACCCAACTGTGGAAGGGGTTTCACGAGTGCCACCAACTACAAAAATCACATGAGAATCCATACAGGTAAACTTTAGACAAAGTCTCTTAACTGTCTTGATTTTTGTCTGCCTTACTTTGAATTGTATTACATATTGTTTTGTTATATTATGAGCCACTCAGAGTTATTTGCAGATGGGTAGGGCCAGCATAAATTGCTCCAAGGGCTCATTTATAGATTCAGCACATAAAGAATGATGCTGATCTTGTTCATCCTGTGAGATGCCCCCCCCAAAAAACAATAGATTTTTAAGTTAATACGGTAAGGCTATTAGAGATGGGTCTGTCTCTTTTTTCCTGTTTAAAGTAACTATAGCTATGTTGAAGTTCACAGGGTGAAAGGCTGGAAATCCAAACTTTCTCTCCTAAAGGGCTGCTGGCCCTGATTCTTACTTTGAAATAACAACTTGATAATTTCTACTGCCAGTACCTTTCTTATTGAACTCTTTACTCTAATCTCGGTGGGCAAGACGAGGCTCTTTCACTTTTCTACCAATTAAAAGGTCAAAATGCAAAAGTTTAAATAATTTCAAGAGTGCCATAAGAAGATCTCAAGGAAATTCAAAGGGAAAAAGATCCTGGACAGAGCCTGAAGCATCAATAAAGGTTGAAAGCAAACCCCCAATTCTATACGTATACAGTGTAGAAGATAAAGAAAACAAGACTTAGCATAGCACTGAAAAGATAAGTCTGAAAGTGAGCTTAAATTCCTAGTTATGTGCTACATATTTCAGCAGGATTCCTGAAGCAAAGGTCCTTTGGTTCCTTTCCAGGAGTTTTCTACCTTTTTGGTGATTTCAGATATTTTTCAGAGGCTGCAAGGAATTATGGCTAGCCCCATCCTTTTCCCATTGATTTTTTCTTTTGTTCTCTAAAAGGCAAAATGTTTTCTATATCTAGCCGAAAAAGGGGCTAGATTAATCTGACTTGTAGAGTTTTAATTATAAATCTGCAGCCTGGCATGTAGATTACATTCACAATAATCTTAAAATGCAATCTTGTGCAAGTTTACTTGGAAAGGAATCCCATTATGTAAAATTGGTATTATTCCAGCAGTAACTTCAACCTTTAGGCCATGAATCCATGAATAAAAAGTTGATTTCGCTGTGAATCCTAATTCTGTTCCAGGGGAGAAGCCATATGCATGCATGGTACCAGGCTGTGGAAAATGCTTCACAGAATATTCTAGTCTCTACAAACACCACGTAGTTCACACACATTGCAAACCATACACTTGCAACACCTGTGGCAAAAACTATCGGCAAACTTCTACTTTGGCAATGCATAAACGTACTGTGCACGGGGAGCTGGAGGCCATGGATGACAGTGAGCAAGGTCTCTATGAACATCAGATGGAAGGTGAGTAAACATGTAAGGTAGCCTTGTAATTCTTTTTTTAAAATAATATTTTATTAGGTTTTATCAAAGTAGGGGAGGGATAAGGTCAGTATGGGTTTTGGGGTTCAGGTTAAGGTTCAGGTAGCCTTGTAATTCTTGTCACTCTCCAATTTGCTGGCATACAGCTTTGTTTTCACTTTGTGTCCAATTTTCTCTGCCTACAAAGCCATTTGAATGCTCTCTGCAAATTCTTCTTTCTTTGTTCTCTCAGATACCCCAGTGAATAACAGCCAGCCTCCATTGAAAGGTCAATGTATTGTTTCTATGAAGATGGAAGATGAAGTGCAGGAAGATTCCATGCCATCAGCAGCAGCTCTTGTTTCTCAGGATGGTGTAGAACAAGTATGAAGGACAATGGAAGGATGTTCTTGGGCTAGGGGTATTCAAGGCAGATCAGTGGAAACAATTGCAATAGGGGATTATTCTCCCAGAATTTTCTAATTCTAAGTATTTTACCACCTTATCTGCCTACAACTCTCGCATAACTTTTTCTTAATCATAGCTTTACTAGCAAGCATGTTAAGGATTTTGTGGCATCTTAAAGGAAAACTGAGAGGAAATGATTGGATTGCAATTTTAGTATGAATTAGAGGCTTGTTAAAATATTTTGACTTACCATGAACTAAAGCTATAGTCTGGTACAAATGCTATGACTGTGGTTATCACTGTTGGAACTGGGATACATCTTATATAGAGATCTTGAAAATATTTCGCTTGGACATAGTATCAGAAAGTAATCTTTTAAATGTAGCTGCTATACCCATGTGATATTTTTCAGGTCAGAATAGTAACTTCTGGGACACCAGTATCTGAAGATTCATTCAAAGCCTGTCTATGATCACCACTTGACAGTACTAGCAATAACTAATGGTATTCATGATGCTGTTCAGGTAGACACATGCTATTTGGAGTTCCTATCTCAATCATGGATAGTATATCAAAAAACCCTAAATGTAAAATACTTAAGCATTAAGCAATATAACCATAAATTGTTTTAACACCTATAACCTTTTAATAATGTATAGAGAATAATATAATACCTTCATAATTAAGCCACAAGTTGACTTAGTATTAGCTGCCATCTAAAATATGGATATAGCATGAATTATCCTAGAAATTTCTATTAAGTAACAACATTTTTATATTTCCAAGCTCAGTTACAGTAATAAGTTGAGGACTATATTTGATATTGCTCTTAATATGAGGCAGATCAAGTCCTGACAAATGTAAACAATGACCAAGCAGGAGGACACATTCCATCAACTGTGTCTCCCTAGTATTTCAATGATAAAACTTTGTGCACAAGAGTTCCCCTCAGATCTTCCTTTCAGCACATATAAGAATTAAATGTATAATTTGGCTTGATAAAAGCAAACAGATAGTTCATTTAACTTAAACTATTTGAATAGAAAGCCATCTAGAAGGCATAATTATAATTAATTATTTGATCATTAGTACAATGATTTTGCTTCAGCTATTAATTCCTACAGAGAAATATCCTGTTATCCTTCACTTGATGAGAAGTGAATCAATTTGATAACCCCTTTGAAGCAAACAATATAGCAACAGATCTAGGTGGCAAATTTTGGGGGCTAGCAGCATACTCCAAAAGCTGTTAAAACTATTGCTTGTGAGTTCAAATATTTATAGTTTTTAGTTGCAGTTCTAAAAACATAATATTTAAGCCATAATATTATTGCAAATGAGGCTTTAGTTTTAAGGAGGCATTATCTAGTTTCAAAAAGGACTGCAGTATTAGGAAGATAGGTTGGGATATTTAGAGGACATCTCAGGAATTTCATCTGTAAATTGGTTAGATTGTTGGAGTTTACCTGAATTCAGATTTTTAGTGAAACACAAGTGGAATATGAGCTAATGGTGCAAAGCATCTGCTGAAAAGGCAAATGGCATTTTTGGGGATAGATTATCAGGAGCACAGATTTCAAATCCTAGGAAACTATTATATCCCCCTGCTCTACATTTGGAATTAGGCATCTAGTTCTGGGCACAAGACAAGGGAATTGGAATCCAAGTTCAGTGAGGAAAGTTTAAAGCACGGGTGTCAAACTTGTCGCATCATGTGATGTGTCGCGACGTATCATGACTTTTTTTTCATTGCCAGAGCTGGGGTGGGCGCAGCCTCCGTATGATGCAACTGGCCTACAGGCCGGCAGTTTGACACCCCTGGTTTAAAGGAATTGAGAATCTTTAACATGCAGAAGACAAGACTTATGGGACAAGTGATAGCAGTCTCCAGATATTTATACTTTGTGGCATAGGATGTCAGGACAACTACCAATAGATTAAAGCTTCAGAGAAGTAGATTCGGGTTAATATTATTAAGACTTTCCTGAAGATAAGACAGTAAACCATAAAGTAAGTTGCTAAAGGCATAAAGTTGGGTTGTAAGACCTTGGAGATCCCTACAAAATCAGGATTATGTTAAATCTCCATATAGCAAAGTTCACTGGATTTACCCATATTCTAAACATGTTTGCCAATTGGGTCCGCACATTATGTTAAGCCATGATATATTCAATAAATTAGTTGGCTGGGTATACATAACACATAGCCTTCCTGATTGAGAGTGATGAAATTGAGTTTCAATACACTGCAAGACATTAGAATGGGAAATGATTTGCATGTAGGCATGCAAAATATTATTAAAACTGAATGATATACATCTTATGTTCCTCAAATATATCTTTTTATAGTATTTTCCCACTCTGCATTTTTTATATTTCCACATAATTCAGTATGTTCTTTTCTTTGCTTCCTCCTTGCCTTACTTCTACTTCTTCATGTGTTCCAATAATAACCACTAATAAACAGCAGCTCTTGTGAGTTTAAACAGTTTATATAAAGCAAAGGCAGAAACTGTTAATTTGGCATTCAACGTTTTTGCTTTAAAATAAATTTAGCACATTTGTTCTTTTTTATCATATTCCTTTCTACCAAAACCAAGTTGCTTTCTTTCACATCCCTACTTTATCTTAGAGCCAGTTCACACCACAGACTAACACTAGGTCGGAGTGGAAGCCTACAGCTAAATTTATCTTTTTGAAGAAAATGCCAGCTCATTTGGAAAAGGCAAATGGTTCTTATTGCATTGCAGGACTGATGAAAAAAGGAGTCACTCACCACTTTCATCCTTCATTTAAAATAGTTATTCTTTTAAAACAAAATAAACTGCAGCTACTATATTAGGTAATCATGGCTATGTGAAGGGGTTATTTGCTTCTGGTGTGCTTGCTTCTTATGCATTATATACATTCTTTGAGCAGATATATTTTACGAGAAGCCGTTTGAGCAATACTTTGTATTTATCTCCTTACCACATACAATTCTATTAAATGGAATATATTTGAATATATGGATCTGAAAATCATTTTTGCTTCACCTGTGCATCATCTGGTCTCTTCCACTTAGCAAATGTAGGTTTGACTACTAAAGAATGCAAAGAGATTATTGAAAGCATTATTGGCCCATCTTTCACACTTTTCTGAGAGTAGTACAAGAGTGTTGTACAAATTACTTTGAAAATTGTGAGAGTTTTCAAAGCAAAAGTTACGGAATCAATCAGAAATCATTTTTCTTCCTTAACTCATTCCTGCTTGTATTCTTTATCACTCCTCCAACTGCAGGTTCAAACCAATTTGAATGTTCGAAAATCATGTCTTATCATTTTCTTTTCTAGTTGGAAATGTAACAGAGCCTGGAAAGTACAATCAACCTGACAACTACAGCAGTTCACCAAGAAGCTGCAACTCTGAAAACCGCTACATTGAAAAATGGATGTTGAGACTTTATCTTGAACACTTCACAGGAGTGAAGAGCTATGTAGAAATAAAAGTAATTGGATAGACAACAGATTCTACAGGAGCCTGCAGTTCAGGAGTGAGATGACCGGTAACTAAGTCCCCATTGGACTTGGAGAGAATTTTTAAGACTTGTTAACTGCTAATCAGTAGATGTTGATAACTGACAAGAACAGATGATGAAGCAACATTTTTGCCTGACACTTTTTAAACAAATGGATCCGTGATAAGCTTTAAGAAATCAACTTGTCTGAGATAGCGTTTGTCTTATCATTTGGATCTTTTTCATTTCTGGTACATATTAATGGAATGACCATTTTTGCATTAGAAAACATTTAAAGTTGGACTTTTATTGGATTTCAGCAACAAGAACTTTTATCATGTCAGAATTTTATAATTTAAAAATGTTTTTTAGCAGAGAATGTCCAGAAAGGGATCACAGCTACTCCATATCCTAGAGCAGTGTTTCTCAACTCAGCAACTTTAAGATGTGTGAACTTCAACTCAGAATTCTAGGAGTTGAAGTCTACACATTTTAAAGTTGCCAAGGCTGAGAAACACTGTCCTAGAGAAGTATCAGTATGAAAGCAATGAAGTGCCCTCTAGATAGGATTACCAGTGGGAGTTCCAAGATGTATAGCAATGGGAAAAGGCGATAGCATTATGGAAGCTTTCCTTCCCCCCTGCCCTAATCTACCAGGGTTACCTCTAAATCTTAGCAAGAGTCTAAACCAGGGGTAGGCAACCTTGGCTCTTTTATGACTCATGGACTTCAATTCCCAGAATTCCTGAGTCAGCTGACTCAGGAATTCTGGGAGTTGAAGTCCATGAGTCATAAAAGAGCCAAGGTTGCCTACCCCTGGTCTAAACAGACAGATAAAAATCTACACTGAACTTGGGGGTATATTAAATTGGTTCTGTGTAATGTTTTATTTTCTTTCACTCTGAAGAGATAATACATGGTTTTGATATGTATTTAATAAAAAAATTGAACTTATTTTCTATTTTCAATAATAGTTTCAGCTTTACCATTCTATTCCTCTTTTAGTTCATATATTTAGTTCATTTGGTAAATTAAGTATAGATTCTCCTACCCCTAAGAATCCTAACAACAAGATCAGGAGGGAAATAATATAAAAAACATGTTTCCTTGTTGCTAATTAGTAGCCAAGAAGCAGTAATTTTTATCAAGAATTGTGGTGGTAGAGAAAGAGATTTTTCAGTATACATCCAATCCTAATGAAAATGGTCATTTCCCAATGGTAATAAGTGTTGCTTGATTATCCATAAAAAGTAGTGAGGTTTTTTGGGCCATACAGTATCGGACTACAGATTGCTCCATATGATGGTATTTTGCCATCAAAATGCATGTTATATAATCAGAAAGAAGAAAACAGTTGCATCCAGTAAGCTTGATGGATACATAAGATTGTTTTAAAAGCATCATCTACATTTGCAACTGATGATTTTTTGCATTATTGTCTGCTGTAACTCATGAAATAATATTGTATTCTTGTTGTTCAGTTACAAGCTTTGACATGTACAATGCTATTTGACTTTTCGATAGGACCTCATCTACTTAGGCTTGTAACCTTGGAAGTATTCCATTACACAGTTGTGAAATTTTACTCAGCTGTTGCCCCTTTCTTTTGTGTTTATACTTGATCCCAGCACTTAATTCCAAAACAATAATGTTACAGTATGTGGTTAAGCTGCAACACCGAAATAGAAATTGGCTTAAGAAAAATGAGTGTTCCTCTTTGTGCTCTGATTCTGACAAATCAGAACTTTAATTCCCTTTGAGAATGAGGTCAAAGAATAAAGAAAATTAATGAAGCTGCTGCCAAATCTCAAATGTTACTTTTCTCTTTTTCATTCTTTACTTAGCTTCTGCAGTAGTCATAACTATCTTCACAATTTTCAGAGAAAAAAAATGATAGATCCAAAATGCACACATTTTTTCATCGTCTCCTGTACTTCTCACAATACCTTTCTTCTTTTCCTTTAAAGGAAGAAAAGTGAATAGGTACTGCTGCTAGGATTTTCAACACCAATCTGACTTCCCAGATAAGCATCCTGTAAATCTGGAGACTGGCATTTGGCTGCTGCAGGGTTATCCTAGATCAGCGGTTCTCAACCTATGGGTCGCGACCCCATTTGGGGTCGATCGACCATTTCACGGGGGTCGCCAAGCAAGGCTGTCCGCCATTTTTTTNCTTGCCAGCTACGCCTCGGCCGGCGCAGGGGGCGGAACCACGCATGCGCGGCGCTTCCGGGCAGGGAAAGTCCTCGACTTACGACCGGTTGGGTAGTCCTCGACTTACGACCGGTTTAGTCCTCGACTTACGACCGGTTTAGTCCTCGACTTACGACCGGTTTAGTCCTCGACTTACGACCGGTTGGGGGTCGCGGCATTAAAAAGGTTGAGAACCACTGTCCTAGATGAAATGATGCAAAGCAACAAGTGAGGCAGAGATAAATTTGCCAGCAGCGGGTAGTTGATAAATGCTCAGCAACAGACAAATCAGCTGTTGTTTTTTTTCTAATGTGAAAATATAAAGATGATCTTTATATATTTAACTGACGGTAGATACCTATTAAAAACAAAGGCAGGGAACTGTTTAAAATGGTTAGAACACTCAATTGTGGATTATTTGATAGATGAAAACCTTGGAGGCAAAATAATAATTCTCAAAGAGAATTAACTTTTCTACACATATTTCTAGACCTGAAAATGCAGAATACAGTGCTAACCAATCTTGTCTGAACAGAAAGTGTCAGGGAATTCAATGGAGCTTACCTATCTTTCCAAAAGTCATGGAACATACTATACCTTGAGCTGAATTTTTGAAAAAAGAAAATTTACCCTATTCAATTGAAGTCAATGATTTCATGTATTTACAAAATCTAATTCTGATGTGATTAGAACAGACTGGACTTGTTTTTCTTGCTATTCTGATTGCAGTGATTAAAATATTAGAAGTGTTATTCTATAATTAATAACACTATTAAATATGAAAATATCTTTACAAGCATGAGTGATATATTTAGTAAAATGCGACTTAAGGAAAAAAATGGCCATTGTTAAACATTCAGAAGATATTTGCCATTTTTTGGAAAAATGGATTTACTTTAATAACAGACATTATCCAGAGGTTTTTTCCCAGCTTGACAAATCGTGTTTTGCTACAGTTACTGATTTAAATAAAAAATATTGTATGGGGGAACCCTTTTAAAAGGATTTGTAAGCTCTGCTATTTAAATAGTTAAGCGTACTAAGAGCATCTTGATTTTTAATCTAAATAAATCCTAGCAGTGTGTTTAATAGGATTTATTCCCAATTATTAAGTAGGTAATGCAAAATTTTACAGCAAGACCAATAATAAGCTTTTAGAGTAATCATACAGGTAGTCCTCAACTTATGACCACAACTGAACCCAAAATTTCTGTTGCTAAGCAAGACAGGTAAGTGAATTTTGCCCTCGTTTTATGACCTCTCTTGTCACAGTTAAATGAATCACTGCAGTTGTTAAGTTGGCAACATGGTTGTTAAGTGAATCTGGCTACTCCATTAACTTTGCTTGTCAGAAGATCACAAAAGGTGATCACATGACCCTGGGACAGTGCAGCCATCATAAATATATACCAGTTGCCAAATGTCTAAATTTTGATCATATGACCATGGGGGTGCTGCAATGTTGAAAGTCTGAAAAATGGTCATAAATCACATTTTCCATTACTGTTGTAACTGAATTAAACAAATGGTTGTAAGTCAAGGAGTACCTGTATAGGATTGCATTTGCCATTTCCAAACGAGCTGGTACCATAGACCAATGAAAAGCAGCATCTTAGTGTGATCTTAATGATAACACTTTCAGCGAACAAGATTAAAACATTGTTTTTAAATTGTATTTTCATTGCCTACATAGTTAGGACTCTGTGCATTTTTCACAGAAAGACAACTGCAATCTACTGCTAAACTTCTAACATAACACGACTGAATAACAGGAAACAGATTTCTCCCCAAAGTGTTGACTACAGCTACTTCAGTCCTATCTCCAAAAACTTATTTCTGTCCCTTTCTATCCTCTCCTCCCCTGCTGTTACTCAAACACTGACCCGCTCCGGAGCATGTTTAGTCCCCACCCCTCCCACTTTTTTCCTCTGTAGTTTTTTTTTTACTGTCCCTCGTCCCGTTTTCAGTACCTTTTGGGGGCTGCCTGTTTCTCAGTTTTATTTGGATGGTGCCGTTTTGATTGTATGAGCAACGGCAGGCAGGCAAAAAAATAACTTCTTCGGATGCGCGCTAAATTCCGCCCTATTTATTTCCAAGCTTCGATTACCTGAACAGGTTATATTAAAATTAGCTTTAAATCCGGAGTAAGCACTCCCGCGACTCTTGACATAGAAGACTGAGGGATGCTTAGTGTTTCTCAACCTTGACAATTTTAAGGCATGTGGACTTCAACTCCCAGAATTCCACAGCCAGCAATGCTGGCTGTGGAATTCTGGGAGTTGAAGTCCACATGCCTTAAAATTGGCAAGGTTGAGAAACACTGATTAACTTGCCCGCTTGACCCATATCGGATACTTCCTTGGGATTTAGCGAGATGAGAAGGTGTTTTTTCCCCCCCCCCCTTCCTCTTTGTATTTATTACCTCTCTCCAAACGACCGCAAACCAAACCAAAGCGTACCCGGAGAAGGAAACCAGCGAGGTGGCCTGAACGACCAAGGGGAGGCGCTACAGCTCCAGAGCTCGCCCCGTTGGCGGCCGTGAGCTGTTTGAACGGCGCGCCGAGAGCTTCGCGACCGCTGGAGGGAGGTTCCTCCCCGCTGAGCGAGCAGATTCTGTGCCCGGTGCCCTACCCGGGAGGCATCATGGAGCTGCGGACGGAGCTCTTAAAATCTATTTGGTACGCCTTCACGGCTTTGGACGCCGAGAAAAGCGGCAAAGTCTCCAAATCTCAGCTGAAAGTGAGTAAAGAGACCAAAAAAGCCAGCAACCCAAAAAGAGCCTCCGAGGCGCGGGCGGGAAGGGCGGCAGTCTTGCCAAGGCGAGGAAGGGCGGCGTGCTTGTCAGAAGAACTGGCGGCCAGCTTTGGGTCTACTAGCTTTGCTCCGGAAAGCGCAATTTGTGGGGTTAGAGGCGATCGGAGGGCAAAAATCAGATTTATATATATATATTAAAAAAACCTCTTCAGGAAAAGAAAGGGAAATGAAGGGTTTTATTTATTTATTTGGCTTTCCTTGCAACACCGCGGAATCCTGTCGTCTTGTAACGATCCATTGTTTTTCTTCAGTCGGGGCGAGAGATGTCAGTTGAAGATCTTCCATCCTGCTTTCCTGACTTTGCTCCCCTAAAGCCTCGGTCAGGTGTTGTTGGAAAAAAAAAAATCTGGTTCTAAAGCGCAAACGTTGTTATGGTTTTGTGGAAACGGGCTTTGCTCAATCCCAGAGGTTCTTCCTATGCAGAGCAATCACTCTGCAAAAATTGGCAGCTCTTTTTTTCTTTTACAGGAAAGAAAGTTTCTTCCTCCCGCGGTGAGCGTGAAAAATGTTACATGGAAGTAATAACACTCTATTTTGTTTAGAGGGGAGGGGGGGAAGAATCTTTCCCTCCCGTATTATAACTTTTCAATAGTAGACAAAGTGATGCTTCCATGTAAAATGGGGGGGGAGGGGTGGCGAATGCCTTGTCAGGTGTGGGAGAAGAAGATGAGGTGTAAATGCAATGCAGGAAAAGTAGGGCAAATAGAGCTCTACTTTGATGCAAATAGGGTGACACCTTGTGAAACCCAGCGCTAAGGAGATGCATCTGAATGCTATAAATTGGCTGTCTTTCCTTATTATTTTCTCTTACATAATGCAGCAGCTGAACCAATGGAAAATTGTTTGGTCATTCTGGACCATTTTCCACAGTGCCAAAAGAATGCAAGCAGTGTGTGCAGCTGCCCCAGTGATTAGCACTCCAGCAAACTCCCACACTGCTGATCTTCAGAGTTACAAGAATTGTTCTTGCAAGCTTTTTGCACCCAAGGGACATGACATGTCAAATGTGGTTTTTCACATGCAAATATGCTGTTTTAAAATGTCTACAGAAATTTTGTCTTGCATTAGAGCTTGAGATTGGGTTGTGCTTCTCTCCAAAGGTTTTTATTGCATCTTTCTCTACTTCTTGGGCAGATCCAAGAGCAGAATCTTGAATGTGTTTTTAATATAAGTTTGTGTGTGTTGATATTGGGTTTTCAAATAGCTGTTAAGAAAAAAATCCCTATTCAGGGCCAGCTTCAGTTTGTGTTTATTAGTCTTGCATAGTTAAAGCAAGGCATGAAAGGGGTGAGGCAAAACCACGAATTCTGAGCCATGGTTCCCATTACGTCATTGTTACTTTATGGAATAGTGCTGACAGGAATGATTTTATATGCTTGTGTTAGCTTGTGTTAAGAAGTTAGCAATTCATTAATCTGAATGCTGTAAATTAGGTATAGCCGTTTTAGATATTGTAGTTGGAAGACTTACTTGATATTTTTGAGTCTGAAGTACAAACATACTTTTTGTTCCCCTCACTACATTATGTGACCTGATTTATTTTAGATTACATCTGTCTTTCTTACATTGTGGATCTCATAGTATGCTTTCCCAAATTATCTGTCCTCTATATGCTGAGGCCTAAATCATCAGTTGAAAAAGTGACCTGGGTCCTATGTCTTCAGAAATATGGCTCAAACATTTTCATTGTGGTTTATTTTATATAAAATGTAATAACATTGCTAGAGTTATTAACAACAGATCAGACAATCTTTATTTTATTTATAGGCAATGGGATTTCTTCTTTCAGGAAGTGTGTAATATATAGACGTATTTAAATTTTTATAACAGTCAATGAGATGAGCAGGAATATTTTTAATCTACTGCTGTTTTTTTATTCACTATTGTAAATATATTTTCTAAAAAATATTATTTCATAGAATTAGAAACCAGGAGACTGTGTGTTCTAGTGCTGCCTTAGGCATGAAAGTCAGATGGATGACTTTGGGCCTGTCACTCTCTTTCTCAGCTCACAGGCAACAAGCTGTTTGGTCAACTATTCCTGTCACAACCAAAGGATCAACACTTGGTTGATCTGGAAAATACAAGCGGACTTGTAGGAAAACGCTAGGAATAAAAAAAAAATAGGTTAAATGCAAAATCCAAGTTGTAATTAACTTTTTCAGGTGATTATCTGTAGGAAGTATGCATTTAAGTATAGAGCTCTGTAGACAAGTTGCGGTTAATATCGTCACAGTCCTCAATGCTTTTTTTTAAAAATCAAAAGAATATAAACAGATGCTCAGTTCTGTCATCAAAAAATGTTTCTTTAAAAAACAAGAAATCACAGTATGCAATGCGCGTTACATACCTCAGGGCATCTTTCTGTTTCTTGTTTAGTGCTACTTTTACTGTTACTCAGAAGGTGCTAAAATGGGATTATTCACTATGGATAAGGCGATCAATGGCTACTAGTCATGATGTGTGCCCTTCCTGAATTTGGGGACAGTTTGCTTTTGAATACCAGCTGTTGAGGAACACAAATGGAGGTGGTGTTGCACCTGTGTTTTATTGCTAAATAAAAAACTAATCCTAACTGCATGAGATTATGTATCTAGGATCTTTGTGGTATGTTCCTTCTCAACATTTTTAAAAATTATAGTGAGTGTCTCTGAGATGCTTCCTGTGGGGACGCACATGGTATTTTTAATGTCATCAGTAAGATTTTTCTTCCTTTTAGTTATAGAGGGCTCTTGCCAGGGCTTGCTTTTAGATTTGCATGTCTGCAGAAGTTCGGGTTTTGAAGCCCATCCCCATAGACTGCTAATGAGTTTGGGAAACCAGGGATGAAAAGGATCAAGGAATAAATATGGAGTATTGTGATAGTCATAATGGAATCACTTCTGCCCCACCTCTATCTGAGTGCTTTTTGCAATATTGAAAAAAAATGGTTTGTATTTTTGCAGAATTCTTTTAATAATTAGAAATGGAGATAGTATTCCACAGGTGGGCATACCACAGAGTTGTGCGTAATATTGCCAGGTTTATTTTTTATTTCTTTCCTCAAAATAACTGAACATGGAATTTTCGCTAGTAGTAGTAGATAGCATATTGGGCTAAGTAGCAGCAATTAACTTCATCAGGTTGTCTGTTGATGAAAAGACATTTTGTGACTGATCATCATGCCCACTGTAAAAAAACTTATTGTGACCTGGCAAGTTCTCTATTTGACAACTGTTTTGTGGCAGCATCCAGATATACTATCATAGTTTCAAATGTGTCCACTATCACCAGAAATTTATCTGTTTATGATACAGTAAATACGAAATTAATTATATATTCTGCCAGTATGTCATCTGCTTGCAATGACCCATATTTTTTAAAGTCACCATCCTCCCTGATGTGTGGAGATGTTTTGCTATTGCTGTAACTATCCAGAATTATTACCTGTTCCCACAATTTATGTAACTTGAGAACATTATTTCCTGATTTGTTAGCACGTCTGCCATAATGTCAGATATTTGCCCACTCAGGATGGAAGAATGAGAGCTTTTCTTTGTGTGGAATTAGTGAATGTGGCTTGAAACATTTTCATGCAGACTCCAACTCAACATTCATTAATTTTTACAGACATTAGACTTGTACCTCTCCTACACTGCATATTTCCAGAACTTTATTCTTCGTAATAGTTTGACCAAGAGATTAAAAGCTTTTAAGGCTGAAGTTATAGGAAAATATTTAACATAAAAGTTACAACTACATTCACAACTATAAATTTCAATAGAAAGATGGGATTTGTAAGTGCAGAATGATTTTGTTGTCTGTATGTTTTGCATGTTGTAACAAGACAGGATGTACTTGATCTTCTCTTTCTCTCTTTTCTAAATCATTTTACAGTCTGTATGTTTGAAGTTTCTAATTTAATCTATTAGTGCCAGGTAAAATATTTTACCTTGTAGCAAAATTATGATGGGAAAACGAAATATGTCTCTAAATTAATTCGTGCTCTTTTCACATGCTTTAATTGACTAAATTAGAGTTAACACTTAATCTAAAAATATAGTTCATTGTGTCTGCTGTAATTATGCTAATCTTTAAAAAGCATTTAAAGAGAGTACAGGGTCCAGTGTGCATGAAATGATAACTCAGCTCTTTAGAATTGTAGCTTAATTTGAATAAGTCAGCTGATACATGTTGCCTAATTGTTTCCTGTTGCAAATAGGCCCAGCTAAATAAAACATACATACATCTAAACTTTGGCTTAAGATTTTCACATGCTGGGAAAGTAATGCACTGAGAACTCTTGTTTGGATTCTCCAGTTTTAATGAACAGAGGCGTGTTTTCTTCACTAATTTGTGTGCCCATTTTCTGTAGAGGCATCATTTTAGAAGAAGCAATCTCTTTTCTTCGCTATCTCAGAAGGGTGGGAGAAGATGCTCCTGTTACCTGTTGTTTTAATAAAAATACAAGAATTAAATGCCCTACTTGATTCAAATTATTATTAAACAAAACATTCCTGCTATTAATAGATAGCTAACTTCTTAATTTTATATATTCATTTTGAATTATTATTTCAGAATAATAATTATTGTATTATTTAATTAATCATATCTGAGTGCAAAGAATATTAGAATTGATTAGTCTAGGAGATACAGGTAGTCTTCGACTTACAACAGTTCATTTAGTGACTGTTCAAAGTTACAACGGCACTGAAAAAAGTGGCTTATGACCATTTTTCACAGTTACAACCTTTGCAGTATCCCCATGATCATGTGATCAGAATCCAGATGCTTGGAAACTGGTTCATACTTATGACGGTTGCCCTGTCCCGGGATTATGTGATCATGTTTTGCAAACTTCTGGCAAGCAAAGCCAATGGAGAAGCCCGATTCACTTAACAACCAAATTACTAACTTATCAACTGCAGTGATTCACTCAACAACTG